TTCTATGAAAATTTATCTATAGTAAAACATGTTCATTTATTAACCACATTCAAATGGACGTAAACATAGACAACTGATCTCAGAATCCATTTAAACAATGGGAACAGTTTTAAAAATAAATTTATTTATTTTTAGTTTTCAACATTCATTTACATAAGATTTTGAGCACCAAATTTTCTCCCCATCTCTCCCCTTGCCCCACCCCAAGACATCATATAACAATGGGAACATCTTTAAGGTGACACACCTTAAAATGCATGCATTTCAGGGCATGCTCTACACACAGATTCTAATACCAGATTCAAAAATAAACATAAGTAAAATCAGGTTTTCCATAAGATAGCTCATAAGTTACTACTCTCCACTAATATAACTGACCATACTGAAATCCCGTTCCTTAAACAAAACCAAAAGGGGTTCCTGACTTTAACCTCAAACTTAAATAGATTTACATCTTTGTTTCACAGACTCCTCTACCTTTATCTTATTATACTCATATCTGTCTGAAAGAATGAGATCCTTCAGGAACTGAATCTTATTGAAGTACTAATTTAACTCTTGCTTAGGCCATAGAATGATTGAAAAATTCAGATCAAAATAGTAAAATCTTTCCCACTTACAGCTCTTTACAGTAATTCAGATGCCTTAGTATTAATTTAATAACCAATAGATCCAGTATTGCAATGACAAACGTCCACTGTTTGCCTACCCTGATAACAGAAATGTACTCTGAGAGCGATAAGCAGGGACGTGGTTATAATAACATCAAAACTGGGTCTCAAGTCCTACACTAGTGTAAGTGGCCTAGCCTATGGAACCAAATGGACAAATTTCTTGCATGGGAAAATGAATTAAGAAGCCTTCCCAAGGTAACCTCCCTACCTTATTCCCAGGGACAGATATTCCCTAGCTTCAGGTCTCAGATGTCACCCCCATTGAGCTTCTGACTGCTGATGTTTTTCTTAAAGCACCTATGTAAGATCAATTCAAGCACACAATAAACTTAAGAATGAAACTCAAAAAAGAATATTCAGGGTCCCCAAAAAAGCTTTCTCCTCAAACAACAAAGTCTCACTAATCACAGTAAGACTGGATACAATTGTTATCAATACCATCAAATTATTGCAGTAAATCAGCTTACAAATAAAATTTATCAGACCTAAAAAATTACACAAAAGTTCTTTTTTTACTTAAACATTTCTTCCTAAAAGCATTTCTCTTTATTAATAAATAGGTTAAAATTTATTGTGATGTTAAAAAGATAATCATAAACTTTCATGAAATAAATTGGTTGGAAACTGACAAGATATTTCTCTTATTCAACCCTAAAATAAAAATAAATCTTTAAAATTGGAATTTATCAAAAGTAAGTGGATATAAAATATCTTTAAGTATAATAAATAAATCCCCAAAATACCATAACAAAATAAATTCCTAATTAGGACAAATTCTTAATTACCACACGCCCCCCCCACCCCAGTCAAAAAGTATTTGCAATGGGAAGAATAAGGGAGTTAGAAGGCTGGGATAGGCCCAGTAAGGACTTCCCCTATAGAGGCTGGAAGGGTAGCCTTAAAACAAAAGTCAATATGACCTGTTACAAAAGGTGGGACCTCATTAGCAACATGAGAAAGAAATTTTTTCCCCCTAGATAAAGCCTTTATTAGAGGATATCGCCACATTGGTGGGGAAGAAAAAGGAATTTTTAAGTGAGGAATACCCACAGGCTAAATTTGATTTGAAAATACCAAGTATTCAGGGGAATTGTTTTAGCCAAAGTATTAATTTTTATTCCTCTGCCTTTAAAACATTATTGTGGGACGTATCTGCTGCTCCCTAAAGTACCTGTGTCTGTTTTGTCTGTGCTGTGCTATGTTATGTATGTGCTATGTTGTGCTAACCCATAGCCAACAGGTGTTTTACCTATACCTTTTCTTTTGGTGTGATCAACCAAAAGGAACAGACAGTAAAAAAAAAAAGAAAAGAAAAAAGATCAGTTAGGTGGCACAGTGGATAGAGCACTGGCCCTGGAGTCAGGAGGACCTGAGTTCAAATCTGGCCTCAGACACATAACACTCACTAGCTGTGTGACTCTGGGCAAGTCACTTAACCCCAACTGCCTCACCAAAAAAAAAAAAAGCAAACTTTCCAAAAATAGTTTTAAAAAGAAGACAAATCTCTTTTTCTTCTCTGTTTCCAACAATGGCCATGTTGGAGACTGCTGAGATGAAAGAAAGATACAAAAATTAATGGAAAACTAAGAAACCAAAAAAAAATTGGAAACCAAAATTGTGAAAAAGGAATAATTAATTTCTTTCATTTCAACCAAAATTTAGATGTTTTATGAAGTATTTCAGTGAGCCTTTGTGGTACCAGCAAACCCATGTAAAGTCTGGAGTTGATAGGAGGTCTTCCCACTTCAGACAGCAATTTGTCAAAACTTGACTTGCTGTGCTGGGGCCCATGAATAACTCTGGTTTGGTCAGGAGTTATGCATATTACATGATGTTTATTGTAAAGGCAGGTGGAAAAGGGCCAGGTATGGTGTTGGGCAAGACCTATGGGAGCTGTGCATGCTTATGGGGGATCCCCATGGGCACAGTCAGGTGGGCTCCCCCATCCCATTAGCAAGTCAGCCTCAGTGAGCAAGCTGGCAGATCTGCTCTAGCTAAGGCTAGTTAACCTGTGGACAAAACCCTGGGTTGTTTTGTACAATTTTTAGAAGGGTGTAGCTATGTGTAGTGGGAGGGGTTGGATATTTATCTGGCATGAATGGCAGGGTGAGCTCAGGCTGTGTCTTGGGACCACCTAAGCTTATCTATATGAAACAAGTTTTTCACTTGGACCCAAAAAGATATAGGGGAGTTTCCTTCCTCCCCACCCCCCACTTAATAGTACTTCATTTTTTCCAATTACATGTAAAGATAGTTTTTGACATTCACTTTTAAAGGATTTTGAGTTCCAAATTTTTTCTCCTTCCCATTTCCCCTCCCCAAGACACCTAGCAATCTGATGTAGGTTATACATATACAATCATATTAAACATATTTCCACATTAATCATGTTGTAAAAGAAGAATCAGAACAAAAAGGAAAAACCATGAGAAAGAAAAAAAAACAACAAAAAAAGTGAAAATAGTATGCTTTGATCTGCATTCATATTCCATAGTTCTTTCTCTGGATGTGGATAGCATTTTTCATCATGAAGTCTTTTAGAATTGTCTTAGATCCTTGCATTGCTGAGAAGAGCTAAGTCTATTAAAGTTGGTCATTGCACAATGTGGCTGTTACTGTGTGTAATGTTCTCCTGGTTCTGCTTACTTCACTCAGCATCAGTTCATGTAAGTCTTTCTAGTTTTTCTGAAGTCTACCTGCTCATCATTTCTTATAGCACAGTAGTATTCCATTACATTCATATACCACAACTTATTCAGCCATTCCCCAACTGATGGGCATCCCTTCAATTTCCAATTCTTTGTCACCACAAAAAAAGCTGTTATAAATATTTTTATGTATGTAGGTCCTTTTCCCTTTTTTATGATCTCTTTGGGATACAGACCTAGAAGTGGTATTGCTGGATCAAAGGGTATAGGGGAGTTTTCTAATAAGAATCTAGGGTACAGAGCTCTGGTTTCTTCCATGGTCTACAAACTGTGATGAGTGAAAAGCCCAAGAGACAGAGTTTCTGGGTAATTGATAATCAATTTATTAATTAGGCTAGCTGATAATCAATAAATTGATGATCAGTGGTTTCTCTCAGTAACCAAAGACACCTGACTGGTGAACAACTAATGAGGGGGTGGGCATTTAAATGTGGAGGTGGGCTCAAAGCCTTCAGCTCTTCCTGCTGAGAACATGGTTTGATTATAAGACTAAGTGAACTCCAGCAATCTGGAGAAAGGAATTCATCTCTACCTAGACCACTCTGGTTGGTTTTCTCCTTCATGAGCTGGGTTACCTTAAACTCCAACTAAACTGCAATGTAAGGACATGGGTTGAATGCTTTGGAGTTGGAATTCACCTAGATTAGATTCTGTTCACACTCTAAACAGAAGTAATGCTTCCTAGCTCTGTGGGTCCTGCCCAATATTGCAGAGCATATACTCCAAGGATTAGGCCAATCTCGTCTATCAGCCTCGTCCTTCAGAAACTGACTGATCTACAGGGGCTGGTTGCTGAATGAGGAAATGAAAAGCCTGGATCTGAATTAATAATGCATTATTAATGTAAGAGAAAACAATCATTGCTGTTCATCGTGCCACCCAAGATTAGGTTACACATATAAATATATACAGGCAGCTAGGGCATACTATAGTGCACAGAGTACCAACGCCTGAAGTGAGGAGGACCTGAGTTTAAATCTGGCCTGAAGGACTTCAGAAGAACCTGGAAAGACTTGTATGGACTGATGCTGAGTGAAGTGAGCAGAACCAGGAGAATGTTGTACACAGTAACAGCCATATTGTGCGATGACTAACTTTGATAGACTTAGCCTTTCTCAGCAATGCAAGGATCTAAGACATCTCCAAAAGTCTCATGATGGAAAATGCTACCCACGTCCAGAGAAAGAACTATGGAGTTTGAATGCAGATTGAAGTATACTATTTGCTCTTTTTTTTTCTTGTTTTGTTTCTTCTTTCTGGTGGTTCCTCTTATGGGTTCTAATTCTTCTTTACAACATGACTAATGTGAAAATATGTTTAATAGGAATGTACATATAGAGCTTATATCAGATTTCACGCTATCTTGGGGAGGGAGGTGGGGTGGGGGAGGGGGAGACAATTTAAAACTCAAAAGATTTTGGAAGTGATTGTTGAAAATGAAAAATAAATTAATTTTTAAAAAAATATGGTCTGAGACACTTACTAGTTGGGTGACCCTGGGTAAGTCAACCCTTTTGGCCTCAGTTTCCTCATTTGTAAAATGAGCTGGAGAAGCAAATGGCAAACCACTCCAGCATCTTTGCCAGGAAAACTCTATGGGGTCACAACGAGTCAGACATGACTGAAAAACTAAACAACTTTAATAAATAAATAGATATGTGCAGAGTAAATATGAAATAAACCTTATGTAAACCACCATCTTGTTCATGCTGGTCCTTGGAAAGCAGACTGTTCATTGCACGCCCACACTCACGGCTCATCCAACCTCTCAGAACTCAGACTCTGTTGCCTTGTCTGCCACGCTTTGCTCTGGGAAAGGGCATCAGAATTGGAAGTTGCTGGTGAAACTTTTGGCCTGCCTTAGATATCCCTTGCTATCTGGAATGTTTCTGACTGCAAAGCTAGGAGGAGGTTCAAGAAGAAGGTGGTCACCATTGCTGGGGATGAGCTTTGTCCCAATGGCAGACAGAGAGTATGACTTGGCCTTGGCATTTCACTGCACTCTCAAGGGCATCGTGAAGTTCCCAACTGTCTTGACTCTTGGACATTATTTCCCATAGTGGTGCTGACTCTTGTTGTCTGGTGTCTTGCACAGGCAAGTTGGTGACTCATCCATCAGCCTCGAGGGAGTCACAGATTTTTCAAGGGTGGGATGCTTCAGCATGAAACATAGGAAAGTAGAGATGGAGAAGAAAAGTAGCCAGTTTGAAGCTGTTCCAAATTTTTCAGACCTATTTCTCTCTCTCTCTCTCTCTGTCTCTGTTTAACTATAGTCGCTGATCCAGCCCTTACATATCACAGGGGAGAATTCTGAAACTCAGAAAAAGAAAGTGATCTATCCAAAATCAAACAACAACCTTACATACAACTCCTCACTTCCAGGACTTCCCATGGCTTTTCCCTATCATAGGGTCATAGATGTAGAGCAGGAAGGGGCCTCAGAGGCAATGACCCCATCCAAACCTGAGCAAGAACTCTCTCTCTCAGCTCCCCAGAGCTCGCTTCTCCAGCCTCCATTTGAAGACATCCAGGAAGAAGAACCAGCTCCCTCCTGAGACAAGAGGTTCTACTTGACGACAGCTCGAATGCTTAGGAAGCTTGTCCTGACTTTCAGCCTGATCGTAGGTGACCCTCTTTGTGACTCCCACCCATTGGTGCTGGGTCTCCTCTCTGGGGCCAAACAGAACAAGAAAATCTTCTAAGGAACAATCTGAAGTCACCTATCGTGTGTCCCTTTTGCTCCCTCCCTGCTCCAGACTAAACACGCCCAGATCTTTCATTCAGTTCTCATATGGTAGGAGTATGAGGCCCATCACCATCCAGGCCACCTTTCTCTCTTATCAACATCCTTCCTAAAATGGGATGTCTGGAATACTAGTGTTTTTTATGAAAAGATGTCACCTATTTAATGGAAAGATAGATTTAGAAATCACTGGCCAAATTCAAGGCTGGTTGTCATAGATCAAAGGTAGATGAAAGGAATGTTCTCAGCTAGAACTGGGGACCACCAGGCAGCAACATGAGCAAAAAGATGTAGGATCAGTCAAACCAACTGATCAATCCATAAATCTGGCAAAAGCTACCCACTCTTCCTTTTATGTTATCAGCTGAAATGCAAAGATGAGTGTCAGGAAGCAGGATAGATACATTTGGGGTGCAGTGGATAGAGCCCTGGACTCAGAGTCAAAAAGACCTGGGTTCATATAATGCCTCTGACATCACCTAGTGACTTTGAGCAATCAATCAATCAATCTATCAATCAATAAGTGCTTATTAAGTGCCTATTATATGCCAGGCAGGCACTGTGTGAGGTCCTAGGGTTACAAGTACAAAGAATAAAACAATCTCTCCTCTCAAGAATCTTATATTCCAGCAGGGAACATGAGTAGTGTCTTTTCACTAAACTTGAAATCACCAAAGTAATGACTTTTGATATCTACAAGGAACTTTTCTAGTTTCTGTGGGCTTCATGAGCGCAAGGACTGCATCAATCAATGTAAAAACATTTATTAAGCACCTACTCTATACCAGGAACTATGCTAGGTACTCAAGAGACCAAGACAAAAGAGAGAGAGCCCTTACCTTTGAGGAACTCTCATTCTGATGTGTTCTCCCTCCTCCCTCCTGCCAAAACAGGATCTTGTAAGTACCTGGTGCATACAGTCTGCTTCTCTCTGTCCATGGTGAATTCCACCATCCCCACCAGCCAGTAGGCTCTTTGAAAATTGCAACTGTTTTATTGTTGTACAGTATCTGTACAGAAGAGGAGCTTAATGAATGTTTATTGAATTGAATTGAACTCTGCATTCACCTTGGCTCCTGAACATATTGCTCTCCACATAGTAGGTGATTGATAAATGGCTCCTGAGATAAATTAAATAGATGAATTGACTTGCTTTGGGTGTTTATATGTGATTAGCACTGTGCTTGGCACATAGTAGGTGCTTAATAAATGCTACTTGAGCTGACCTGTGTAGCACATTTTTAAGTGCACAGTTCCTGGCATATAGTAAGTGCTTAATAAATGCTTCATTTATAACCTATATATTCATCTATCCATCTATCTGTCTATACATCTATATTTCCATCTATCATCTATCCTTCCATTATCTGTCTATCCATTCACCCATTCCTCCTTTCATTCAATCATCTTTGCATCCATCATTTTCTCTGTCATCTCTCTATTCTTCCTTCCATCTATCTTTTTAATTTAATTTTGTTTATAACTTTTGTTACATTTTAAGTTCCAAACTGTCTCCCTCCATTCTCCATACCCTGTACTAGAGAAGGCCCACCATTTGACACAGATTTATAAATATATGTAAAACCATGCTATGTGTACTTTTATTCATCAGTTCTCTCTCTGGGGTTGGATAGCATGTTCCTTCTTAGGTTCTTTATAGTAGATTTGAGTGTTTATAATACTCAAAACAACTAGGTCATTCACAGTTATTTTTAAAACAATACTGCCATTATCATATATAACATTCTCCTTGTTCTGCTCACTGCACTTTTCATTATTTCATGCAAGTCTTTCCATGTTTTTCTAAAATCAACCAGCTGATCTTTTCTTACAGCACAGTGGTACTCCATCACAATCATGTACCACAACTTGTTCAGCCATTCCCCAGTTGATGGGCATCCCCCAATTTCCAATTTTTTGCCACCACAAAAAGATCTGCTATTAATATTTTAGAACATGTAGTTCTTTTCCTTTTCCCCTGATCACCTTGGGAAACAAACCTAATAGTGATATTTCTGGGTCACATTCTTCCATCTATCTAACCTTTCTATCTAGCATCTTTCAATCCATCCATCCATCCATACATCCATCTTTTTATCCAGCCAACTATCTATCTATCTATCTATCTATCTACTTATCTATTATATATCTATATCTGCTGACAATCATTACCTCCCTTGGGAGAAAGGAATATTTTCCAAGTTTGCTTCACAAAGTTGTGGTGATAAGAAATCTCATTTATATTGACTTTGTGTGAATTTAACAGATTAGTGATTAGTAGCAGAAATATAACTAGGAATGTCTGTGCCTGGGGGCAAGTACCACAGACTGAACCTGGGTCAAGCCCATCCTCAGTTAAGTGGGGAAGGGCAGGGAGAGTTAGGAGGGGGACAGGGGGAAGCACTCCTCTGCCTCCCAGCTAACATGTCCCTAGATTCACTGAATGAATGTATGATTTAGGTATTGAGATCTGTTGTTTCTTGGTTGTTATTCTTTGTTCTCGAAAAGGACCAAAAGGTCAGGATCAAGGGACAGTATGTCCGACTGTGGCTGATCAGACCAGTACAGGTTTGGCATGCTCTACTACAGGTTGGGCACAAATAATCAATGTGAACTTTTAGGGTGGATTCTCTAAATTTGCTCATCCTGTGTTTCCTTTGAGCTGTTACAATTCTGCTCTGCTCACAGAGCACAGCACCTTCTCTGATGTGGGCACGCCATGCTGAGCGGTCCTGTGCCAGTATCTCCTATGTCACACAATGAATTCCAAAGTTCTTAAGAGAGACCTTGAGAGTGTCTTTGTATCGCTTCTTCTGATCACCCTGTGAATGCTTGCCCTGTGTGAGTTCTCCATAAAATAGTCTTTTTGTCAAGTGTATGTTTTGCATTTTAACAACAACGTGGCCAGCCCATTGGAGTTGGGCTCTCTGAAGCAGAGTTTGAATGCTTGGCAGTTTAGTTTGAGAAAAGACCTCAGTGTCTGGTATCTTATCCTGCCAGGTGATCTTCAGAATCTTCCTAAGACAATTCAAATGGAAGTGATTCAATTTCCTGGCATGACACTGGTAGACTGTCCAGGTTTCACAGGCATACAACATTGAGATCAGCATAATTGCTCTGTAGACCTTCATTTTGGTAATCATTCTAATACCTCTTCTCTCTCACACTTTCTTTCAGAGCCTCCCAAACACCGACCTAGCTCTGAAAATGCATGCATCAACTTCATTATCAATGTGTACATCCTTGGAAAGTACACTGCCAAGGTAAATGAATTTATCTCCAGCATTGAAAACTTCTCCTTTTGCTATAACCACTAATTCCATGTATGGATGCTGTGGTGGTAGCTAATGGAACACCTGTGTTTTCTTGGTGTTTATTCTTAGGCCAAAATTAGCACAAGCAGCAGAGAATTGACCCATACTTTGTTGCATCTCAGATTCATCCGTAAACAGAAAATCATGCACCAATACTCCTTCCATTTTGGTCTTGGCTTGTAGCCTTTTCAAGTTGAAGAATTCACCATCAGTACGGTAACTGACCTTGATGCCATGTTCATCCTCATTGAAAGCACTTGACAACATGGCTGAAAACATCATGCTAAAAAGCATGGGAGCAAGCATGCAGCCTTGTTTCACTCCATTGGTGACTGGGAATGCACAAGAGCTGCTAAATGAAAAACAAGAACTCCACAGGGTTTACTAGCAGGATAGCTCATCCATCTCTAAGAAGGCAGCATTTATTTCCATCAAAAGTAAAGTATAAGGAAATCTTAGAGAGATGAAGGATTCTTGGCTCAGTAAGAAGGCAGAAGAAATTCAGTTTTATGCTGATAGTAACAATCCAAAGTGTTTTTATGATGCCATGAAGGCAAATTATGGGCCAAAGACCTATGGTACATCTCAACTACTCAGTGCTGATGGAGCCACATTGATTAGTGATAAAGACATGATCCTAGAGAGCTGGGCTGAACACTTCCACAGTGTTCTCAACAGACCATCATCAATCAATGCTGAAGCCATTGACCAACCTCAGGTTAAAACCAATCCTTCCTTAGTTGAAGTTCCAACTGAAGAAGAGGTTTGGATGCCATTAGGCTCCTTTCACGTGGTTCTGATTCTATTCCAGCTGAGATTTACAAGGTGGAGGGTCCATTGCTCGTACCAAAGCTGACTGAAAATTTCCAGGTTATATGGCAAGAGGAGGTTATCCCCTAGGAGTTCAAGGATGCCTCCATGGTCCATCTATATAAAGGTAAAGGAAATAGATTGTCCTGTGACAATCACAGGGGGGTCTGTCTCTTAGTCATTGCTGGCAAGATTCTTGCCAGAGTCGTCCTTAATAGACCGATCCTTCACCTGGAAGATGGTCATCTACGTGACAGCCAGTGTGGCTTCAGAAAAGGCCGAGGAATGGGCGATATGGTGTTTGCTGCTTGACAACTCCAGGAGAAATGCCAGGAGCAGAACAGAGGTCTGGATACAACATTTGTAGATCTGGCCAAGGCCTTTGACACTGTCAGTTGTGAGGGCTTATGGAAAATTATGTCGAAAGTTGGTTGCCTGGAGAAGTTCATCAGCATTGTACGTCAATTTTATGATGGCATGCTTGCCCAGGTTCTGGATAATGTTGTTTCTAAAGCCCTGAAGGACTCTGATTTTGGTCAGAGCCCTCTAAATTCAACGTCCCGGGGCCAAATCCCCACTGCTCCACCCTCTTTATGTTTCTGCTTACCTCTTTCTCGGTTGTTTTTCTTTCTAATTAACTTCACTGCCAAAATGATGAAGGCAGTGATAGTGATGATGATGAAGGGAATGCCAATAAGTATGAGTTGGTGGTTACTCTTTGGTGAGCACAATGCATCTGTGGTATCAGTGCCTGGCTTTTCTTCAAATAGACCCCGGGCACTACAACTAGAAGACAAACAAGGACATGTGTCATTGAACATGAATTCAATCCCATCAGCCCAGCAAAACTGAGTGGTCCAACCTCTCCCCTGGTTGCAGTCTGCCATGCGACTCAGTAGCCAAAGAAGCTTACAGAAAGAGAGGCAGAGTATCCCAACTAGAGGGAGAGAAGTAGGTAAAGACAGCAGCACACACCTCTCCAGCTTGTAGACAACACACAAAGCCCAGAGGGAGGGCACACATGTTGGACTGGCTAGAAAGTCAGTGTGCCCAGAGGCTCCAGAGAGATTTAGACAAATTAGAACCACCAGACGATGTTGTTGGGATTTTTTTTTTCTTGTTTTTGAGGTGCCCAGAAGTGCAATTTCATCAGTGTGGGGAATTCCCTGGTAGAGAAATGCCATCCCCTGATGCAGGAATTGTCAGGAACTGAGAGCCTTAGATTGTTGGCTAGGGCATTGAGAGGCTGTGACCTGCCTGTGAGACAAAGCTTACTATGTGTAGAAGACCGAACTCAAGGTTTCTGGACTCCAAGGCAAGCCCTGTATCCTCCACTGCCAGAGCTAACAGTAAGATGGAAAATAATAAGACTGAATGGAATCAATGTCTTGCAATTAGGCTTTAAAAAATCAACTCAAAAAAATCATAGACCCAGAGATAGCTAGGTGGTCCAGTGGGCACTAGCGGACAGAGCGCTGGACCTAGTGTCTGGAACATGGGAGTTCAGATCTTAGTTTAGACATTTCCTAGTTGTGTGACCTTGAACAAGTCACTTAATCCTTGTTTACCTCAGTTTCCTCATCTGTAAAATGAGGCTAATAATAGCACATACTTCCTAGTGTTGTTCTGAGGATCAAATAAGATAATACCTAGAAAGTGCTATGTAAATGTTAGCTATTATTGTTGTTGTAATTTTAGGTCCTGTCCCAATGCCCATTGGTATGAGATGCTCTCCTTATTGGTGAAGATGAATGCCCTGCCCTGCAGGAAGTGGCCAGTCAGCGTTGTTGGGAGGACTCCAGCCTTGATCAATCCTTTCCAGGACTCCTCAGCTTCAAGTCTTTTGGGGGGACTCTTCAAGCATCAAATTACTTCTGGCTTCCAACTTCAAGAAGGAAGATGGAAGGGGCCAACCTCAATTCAGGTTGCTGAAGGAAAGACTCTGGGAACCATGAAAGGAGCCAGCAGCCTCCATTGCGTCCTCCCCCCAGCTTGCTACACTAGAGACTTGGGGGAGTTTGCCTTTAGGTGAGATCTAGAACTCTCTGTTGGTCAAGCTGAGTTATCTGCTCCTGGTAGTAAAGCTCCTTCACTATTTATTTATTTATTTGGCTAGGCAATGGGGTTAAGTGACTTGCCCAGGGTCACACAGCTAGTAAGTGTCAAGTATCTGAGGCCGTATTTGAACTTGGGACCTCCTGACTCCAGGGCCGGTGCTCTATCCACTGCACCACCTACCTGTCCCTCCTTCACTTTTTATTATCCAGTATATATTCTCCTATGTTTATTTTCTCTGGTCTCTCTTTTGCTACAATTTAGATAAGTGGGTATCTTTGCTTTCTGTGAGGCGTGTTCATTGTGGCATTGGTATTAGGTGGGAAGGGGATCAAGGTGAGAGAGTTGGGGTTTCCCTTTCTCCTCCAAAACAGACAAAGCAATCATAAATCAGATTAAACCTGGTCATATCTTAGACTAACAATATTTAAAGGAAGAGATTGTTATAATTCTAGCCTGGTAGCCCATCTCTCTGAGAAGAACAAAGTAGCCTCTGGCCCTAACTTCCTCCTCCTGCTCTGGCAGGAATTCAAATCTTCCTTGGAAAAGGCAGGTGGGACAAAAGGCTAGAGAAGCCTAGTCTTCCTTTGAGCCACATGGCAGCCCACACCACAAGTGGGCCTTATCTTCATGTAGAGGTTTTTCAGTCTCTCTCTCTCTCTGTCTCTCTGTCTCTCTCCTTTCTCTTGGGATCTCTAACACTACATTAATATCATTATTACTAGGGTTCCCCTTCTCCCACAAAATGACGAAATGGTCAGAAGTTGGATTGAACCTAGTTATATTTCCTAAACTAATAATATTTAAAGGAGCAGATAGATTTAGTTCTATCCTGGTTACACCCTGCCCCCCATGTCCATTTCAATTATTATTGTATTATTAATTTATTAATATTGCTGTTTAGCGTTTCACTCTTGTCTGACTTTTCATGACCCCATTTGGGGTTTTCTTGGCAAAGATAGTGGAGTGTTTTGCCATTTCCTTCTCCAGCTCATTTTACAGATGAGGAAACTCAAGCTAACAGGGTTAAGTGATTTTCCCAGGGTCACATAGCTAGTAAATGTCTGAGGCCAGATTTGTACTCAGGAAGATGCCTCTTCCTGGCACTCCTATTTACTGTGCCACCCAGCTGCGAATGATTATTGTTATTGTTGTTAAAACGCATATCAGAAGCAACTTAATCCAATCTTCTAATTATAACGATGAGGAAACAGGTTTGAAGAAGTAAGTCAGCAGCACAATTAGAAAACCAGCTGTAGCAGTTTAGCCCTAGACTGCATTGGCAAGTTTAGAATAAAAGAACTACTGTAATACTTGTCCCATGGACACTGTCCTGGTCAGCCCACATCTGAAGAGTTGTGTTCAGGACCACCCAATTTTGGGAAGTTTCTCGGTTATCTGGAGAGCTTCCACAAGAGGGCGCAATAGGCTCACAGCTTCTGGGCTGGAAGGGCCTTCATTTATAGACGAGGAAAACCTGGTGCAGAGAGTTCAAATTACTGTTAATAGCAGCTAGCATTTATGTAGCATCTCCAATGCTTTTAAAAATATTATCTCACTGGCCCAAAGATAGGATAGCCTGTATGGCATCTGCAGCCAGACTCTTGACTCCAAAGCCCTATCCATGGTACTGGGCAACCAGGGCTCCAAACCATGCAGGTGAGGAGCTATTGAAGGATGGCTTGGAGAGACCCAAAGGTTGTCTCCAGTATTTAAAGGGATGTTAAGTGGAAGAGAAATAAACTCTCTCTGCTTGGCCCCAGAGGGTAGAACCTGGAGTGATGGAGAGAAGACACAGAAAGGCAGGTTTTAGTTCAGTTTCAGGGAAAAATCATAACAATGGAAGCTATCCAACAGAAGGAAGACCAGAAGGAAGCGTAGACAAGGAGAACAACTTTGAAAGCACATGTTCAATTTCTTTTATGCCCAAGAGGAAATGCAAGCTGTATAGAACAGAGATTCATAGTTTGCTGTACATTCAGAGGTGTGCTGGAATCAGCTCAATCCATAAGCCAATTGTTAAATTTCAGGGTGAGCACTCATGCCTCTGAAATTGGCAAATACTACAAATGATGGCTTGATTTGTTATTTTGTTGAGTGACTACACTTAAGAAAATGACAAAGAAAATGTTTTTGATGATGAATAAACTGAAAAGTGTGTCTTGTGTATATTTATGTTTCAGAGATCCAGTTGTGAAACATTTATCTGCATACCCCGTGGATATTTCTTCTTCTTCTTCTTCTTTTTTTGTTCTGCTTTATGTATGGAAATGCTTGCTTTGTTTGGTGTTTGTTAAGGTCAGAATTTTTGTTTAAAACGCCATAAATGAACAAGCAAAAAGAATGAACCACTAAGTCCCAGAGAACATGATATACCTACTTGGTCCATGGCAGACATTGGCCAAGGGTCCCATTGGGGGAAAATGTCCCTGCCTGGCACTCTTCACAGATGGTGTTGTTTCTCTCTGTGCCTGAAAGAGGAGACATGACAGATTTAGTGCTGAGCATAGCAACAGGATTGGAACAAAACATGGCGGCTAGGACAGTGTCCCTGGATTGGTTGGTCCTTTCCCTGGAAGCTGTGTCAGAGGAAAGAGTGTTAGGAACAAATCTATGAAATACTCCCCAGGCTTATGGCAAGAAATTTCTGTTTTTATATCACCTGAATTACTCAATGTTTCTTTTCCCTTACTATTAAATGTTTAACAACCAGCTCTATGAGAGAGAAAAAAAGGAATATAGGGCATGTTTTTATCTTTTTTCTGTTTAATGGACATTATTAACATTTTCTCTATCACTTTCTTAAATCTAAGCAATTAACAAAATGATAAATTAAGCCCTGATTTATACTCTTCCCCCATTTCTGAAGTACCCATGCTCACATTGAAAATTGAACAATCAGCTCTTGGAGGAGCAGTTCAGGCTGGCTCCAGCATACCCCTTATGGCCTTATCTCACCCAGAGAGCCATTTCTTATAATGTAGAATCTTTTAAAAAGGAGAAAAACAGTTCAGGAAGCTAATCAACCTATCAAAAAAAGTGAAATGCTATGTGTAGTGTTCCATACCCCTAGCCCCCTACTTCTACAAAGAAACTGGAGATTCAGGATGAAGTATGGTTGGTTTGTTGTTGAAGAAGACCAAAATGACACCACTCTGTTGGGGTCAAGGTACAGTGTGTCCAACTGAGGCTGATCAGACCAGGAGGAGTTCAGAAGGCTCTACCACAGTCCATATGAACAACTGCAATGGAGAAGTCACTAAATTTGTTCATCTCACCTTTCTTTTGAACTACTGAAATTATGCTTCATTCGTGGAGCTCAGGGCTTTTGATGTGGGCACGCCATGCTAGAAGGTCCCTTGCCATGCCACACAATCAATTCCAAAGTTCTTCAGAGAGACCTTGAGAATGTCCTTGCATTGCTTCTTCTGACCTCCATACGAGCACTTGTCTTGTGTGAGTTCTATGTAAAATAGTATTTTAGGAAAAGGTATGTTTGGCATTTGAACAACATGGCCAACCTATTATTGGAGAGTTGGGCTCTCTGCAGTAGAGTTTGAATGCTTGGCAGTTTAGTTCGAGAAAAGACCTCAGTGTCTGGTATCTTATCCTGTGAGGTGATCTTCAGAATCTTCCTAAGAACATTCAAATGGAAGTGATTCAGTTTGTTGGCATGGCACTGGTAGACTGTCCAGGTTTCACAGGCATACAACATTGAGGTCAGCACAATGGTTCTGTTGACCTTCAGTTTGGTAGTCAATCTAATACCTCTTCTCTCCTACACTTTCCTTTGGAGCCTCCCAAACACTGAGACAGCTCTGGCAATATGTGTATCCACTTCACCATTTATGTGGATATCCCTGGAAAGTATACTGCCAACATAAGTGAACTTATCCACAGCATTCAATATTTCTCTATTTGCTCTAACTACTGTTCCACATTTGGATGGTGGGGTGCAGGCTGGTGGAGAACCTGCACTTTCTTGGTGTTAATTGTTAGGTCAAAATTAGCACAAACAGCAGAGAATCAATCCTTATTTTGGTGTATCTCAGCTTCAGAGCCCGCACTGAGTGCACAATCATCTGTAAATCAAAAGTCATGCACCAACTCTCCCTCCACTTTAGTCTTGGCTTATAGTCTTTTCAAGTTAAGTAATTTACCATCAGTGTGTAATGATGATGCTGTTTTCATCCTAGTTGAAGTTTTTTGACAACACTGTTGAACACATCATGCTAAAAAGCACAGGAGCAAGCACAGAGCCCCACTTCACTCCATTGGTGACTGGAAAAGCACAAGAGCATTGTCCATCATACAGAACCCAGGAAAGCATACCATCATGGAAGTGGCATACAATACTAATGAACTTCTCTAGGCAACCAAATAGGGGATAATGATAGCACCTATTTCCTAGGGCTGTTGTAAGGATCAAATGAAATAATATTTGTAAAGCACTTAGCACAGTGCCTGGCACATAGTAGGTACTATGTAAACGCTTGTTTACTTATTATCATTTAGGTTATCTGAAACCACACAAATGGTTTTGCCCACTTAAAGGATCATGTCTTTAGGGGTAGAAGGGACCTTAGAGATCACTGAGTTCTACTGCTGCATTTTACAGGAGAGGAAACTGAGACCAGAAAGGTCAAGTAAATGACTTACTTGGCCACACAGGTTACTTCTTGAATATTTGAAAGATCTTCAGTTTGGGTAGTTAGGTCCTCTCTCTATGAGCGCAGGTTGTGGTCCTCTTCTATTTTATTTTATTTTTTTATTCATTTATTTTAAACTTAAGTACTAAAACTTAAATACACAATAAGAAAAAGAAACTTATTTTAAACTTAAGTACTAAAACTTAAATACGCAAGAAGAAAAAGAAACATATTATAAACTTAAATACAAAATGAGAAAAGAAAAAAAAAGCATTGCCATATGCACAGCAGAATGTAAGAGAGGATTCAAATTATACAACAATAAATTTCCATTTCAAGAAAGCCTATGTAATAAATACTACACATTGTGTTGGGTGTTATCTATCTTTTCTTTGCTTCCTTGTAAGTTTTCTTTTGTTCTCTGCTGTGCATTTTTACTTTGTTTCCCTCCCCTTCCTCTCCCTCCTCCTCTGAGAAGGCTACAATTAAGCACACACACACACGTCTATGTATATATACACAAACATATATATGTACACATATATACACATACATATTTATACATAGATATATATGTGTGTGTGTACATACATGCACTTACCCATACATATACTTAGGTATCCATAACCATATTCATATATAGACACATACATTCATGTGCATCTATGTAAGGTTGTACTATACTTGTTTATCCTGTTTCTCTGAGGGTGCATAACATCTTCCTTCATAAGTCCAACTCTTTCCATATTTTTCCAAGTCCACCAACTCATCATTTCCTCTACCACAACAATATTCCAACCTTATACTGTCTAGTTATTTTAAATAGTCTAAAATAATATTGATTAATATGGCTTCCATATATTGTAATTTCCTATTGTCCTTTTTTGATTAATTCTATTTTAGCTTTAACTTTGAGATCATGATTACTAAGCCTGCTTTTTTCCCCTAATAAATTCTTTGATCTTTATTTTATGTTTGTGCATATCTCATATTTCCTATCCCTCCTGACTTCTCTAATCTGATACCTTGCCCTCTTATTACTTAACCTAGTGCCCCCTGCAAATATCCCTCCCTTATCCTTTTTTCTCCCACTCTTTCCCCTTTCCTTCTTGTTTCTATCTGAATCTAGAAGACTTTTATAGCTTTTCAAACATATTATTCCTTCTTTATCCCATAGCAATTAATCTAGACACCCTTCTATAACCTCCCCTTTTCCTATTCCCTCACTCTCTTATTTATTTATAAATTTAGAAGACTTTTATTCCCTTCTAAATGTATATATTGTTCTCTCTTTAATCCAGATCTGACGTGAATATGGTTCCTTCTAAAAACCCCTCCCTTATCTTCTCCCCTTCCACATCCCCTTATCCTTTTATTTCTTTCTGAATTAGAAAACTTTTATACCCTTCTAGATGTATACGTATTGTTCACTCTTAAACCCATTCCTGATGAGAGTAGGGTTCTAGAACTACCAGCCCTCCTCCCCCATCTAATCCTCTGTGTCAGTTCTTCCTGTAACACCTCATTTGTATAAGATAATTACTCTTTTTACCTTTTCCTGAACGGTTTTACTTTTTAGAATCACATCATACTCAGGTCTACTCCAATCTTTCATTCAAACTACCCAATTACTATCTTGGTCTCTTATACGTTCGCTAGTTTCCCCTTTCCCAATTCTAATTTTTAAAGAGTTATTTTCTTCCTTAAGATTCTGGATCTCTTTTTCCTATTGGTTGACTTTCTTTTCATAATCTTGTTTTTCTTAGATTGTTCTTATTTAAAACTTTTTTTTCCAAATCTCTTTCATTTGATTTTTAAAGTCTTTTTAAAGTTCTTCTACAAATTCTTTTTGGGCAGGTAACCATTTGATATTATTCTTAGGGGTAGGAGAGGCTTTTTTTTTTTTTTGCTTCAGTATCCTCCTTTGAAGATGAACCCCAGTCTTCTCTCTTCCCATAGTAACTTTTTATAGTTGGGTTCTTTCTCCTTTGTTCATTTTTTTTTTTTATTTGTAGAAGTTTATTATTGTAATCACCTCTGGTCCTGGGGCATGGGGAATGGTGTCTCTGGCCTCAGGACCTCCTTCAGTTCTCCTCTCTGGCCTGGAACCAGACCAAGAACTCTGCCTGCCTGTAAGTGTCCACAGCCAATAATGCCCCTGCCCCCCTGCTTCTGCATTTACTGAGCGTATGCTGGTTCCTTTTCACCCAGGGCCCCAGCAGCACAGGTGGGCCTGGCATTCCTTACCTGCAGAAGTTTTCTCCATCTTACCCTGCTCAGATGCTCGACTCCCCACACTGTCTAGGAAGTGAAAATTCCAGTGGTTGGGGCTCAGGCTGCCTCCCAATCTAGCTAGCCCCAGGGCACACTGCTTGCTGTTTCAGTGGAACTAGCTTTGAAGGTGTTTATACTTTACAGGGACCAAATCTCAGTTCTGGGAATTTTCTTTGGATTTTCTCTCAGTTGTCCCAGGAGGACCACTGTTCTGCCTCAACTCTTGTATATTTTTACTGCTCTACATTCACCCTGAGGCGATATTTTGTCTTGTTTGTGGGGGGAAATCTAGAGAGCTTGAAATTTTCTGACCCACTCTGCCTTCTTCCCAGAATCTTTTCTCCTTCCCTCTCAATTTTAGCAGATGGCCTTTCAGAGTTATATATGAGACATCCATCCCCTGAGGCCTACAGGGGCTGAGTCCCTCTGTACTTAACTAGGCAAGTCCTCAGAAACAGACCTCTAGAAAACCAGACCCCTGGTCCTATTTTAGAAGCCTCCAACACAGCAGTATTTGCCAGAATTTGAACTCTTTGGGGATCACCTTTAAGAACCCAGGGGCACATCATAAATTAAGAAAAGGAGCAACGAAGAAGTTACCAATCAGATCTGTGAATAGGGGAAGAGTTTATGACCAAATGAGAGAGAGAGATGATGACAGGATAAAATGGACAATTTCAGTTACACAAAATTTGAAAGATTTTGCACAAACAAAACTAATATACCCAAAATTAGAAGAGAAGCAGGTAACTGGGGAAGAGGATGGGGTTGGAAATCTTTGCAGCAAGTTTCACTGATAAAGGTCTTGTTTCCAAAATATATACGGAATTGATTCAAATGTATAAGAATAAGAGCCATTCTCCAAATGATAAATGGTCAAAGGACAGGAATAAGCAGTTTTCAAAGGAGGAAATCCAAGTTATCCACATCCTTATTTTTAAATGCTCTAAATCTCTAATAATTAGAGAAATATAAATTAAAGTAACTCCATGGTTCCACCTCATATCCATCAGATTGAGAAGACTGACAAAAAAGGAAAATGGCAAAGGCCGTAGGGACTGTGAGAAAACAGGCATAATGATATACTGTTGGTGGAGCTGTGACTTGGTCTAGACATTCTGAAAAGTTCTTTGGAACCACACCTCAATAGTTGTTTAGATATGCATCCCCTTTGGCCCACTGATACCACTATTAGGTGAGCAAATTATGGAGCATGAATGTAAAGGAATAATATTTCTCCATAAGAAATGGTGAAATGGCTGATTTCAGTGAAACATGGGAAAACTCGTATGAACTGATGTAGAGTGAAATGAGCAGAACCAGGGGAAACAGATTATACAGTAACAATAACATTATAAAGCCAAACAACTTAGAAAAGACTTCAGAACTCAGATCAATGGAATAACCAACTATAATTCCAGAGGACTCATGTTTAAACATGCTACCCACCCCCTCACAGAAAGGTAAAGAACTCAAGGCACCAAGGAAACATATATTCTCTTTGGAAATGGCCCGTGCATGAATGTGCTTTGTCTGACGACACATAGATTTGCTATGAAGGTTGTTGTTTTTCTTTTTCTTATCCAGTCAGGGAGGAAAGGTGAGAAGGAGAGAAGATAGGTTTTTGTCAATTAAAAAATATTTCATTTAAAAGGAAAACAAACAAAGATTCAGAGTCATTTGTGCCACCAAAACACATTGGAGGAGGACACCACTAGGGAGGCTTTGGTTGACTTCCTAGCTCTGCCTATTTCCAGATTTGCCCCAGGCTGTCTGAGGTCCATGGAGATAAGACAGGGGACCCGAAACCACTCTTCATGATCATGGACTCATAAATTTCCATCAGGAAGAGACTTCAGAGGTCATATTATCCAACCCTTTCATTTTACAGATGGGAAAACTGAGGGCCAGAGAGGTTGTGTAACCTCAGGATCACAGCGACAGTGAGGGCAAAGCTGAGTTTTGGACCCAAGCCCTCTCACACCAGATCCAACCATCTTACCACTGTACCACAATTGCCTCTAGGGAGGCAGCCTGAGCTAAGGGAAGGCTGGGAACTTCTCAGGTTTCCAGGGCAGCAGCCTGAAGCAGCAATAGTTCTGGGTGCCTGGGTGGATGGGAGATGGGGCAGGCTCACCTCTAGACTTCATGTATTGGCCAGGGGTGCAGACTCGATGAGCCACACACATCTCACAGTCATCATCTTTCATGTTGGAACAGAAATACCCTGAAGAGCAGCCACACACAGTGTCGGATGTGGGCGAACATGCCCTTCTGGTCACCAAGCCAAATGCTAAAAGAAAGAACAAAGAGAAGAAGGAGACATTTGGTCAGTCAGTCAGTCAACATTTATTCAGGACCTACTATCTTACAAAGAAAGGCAAAAGACAGTCTCTGTTCCCAAGGAACTCACAGTCTAATGGGGATGACAGCATGCAAACACATGTGTACAAACAAGATCTCTACAGGATGAACTGGAGATGATCGAGAGGGTAAAGACTCTAGACTTAAGGGGGAAGGGGATTGACTTCCTGTAGGAGGTGAGCTTTTAGCTAGAATTTGAAGGAAGCCAGGGAAGCCATGAGATGGAGGCGAGGATAGAGCATCTATTGGAATAACCCAAGTGTGAGGTGAAGAGAGTCTGCAGCAGGGAGGATGAGGTGTCAGAGGAGAGAAGGGGGCATAATCAGAAAGTGCTGGAAAAGATGAATTGAACAAGCTTTGAACATAGATTGGATATGGAGAGTAAGAGATAGCGAGGTGGCCAGGATGACTTGGGAGTGGAAATCCATGGCCTCTGATGACAGCCCATTCCACAGGACCATGAGTACTGACTCTGTCTTTCATCCTCACCTAGACTAGAAGGTTCTGGAGGGCGGCAGCAAAATCTCAGAGCCTTCTAGTTCGACTCACTTGTAAACAAGAATCCCTTCTATCCCACTCCCAACCCAAGGTTGCCTAGCCTCTGCTGGGAAAGGTCCAGGGAGGAGGCACCCTGTGGTGGCCCACCCAGTTTTGGGCTCAGATGATGCCCCAGGTCCTGGGCAGTGAGGGACCCTGGACAGGTCACTCTAGGCCACTTCAGCCTACATGTTTGCCTGGCTATGCCAAACCACCGGGTTTTGCCTTAGCCCCGGGTTCATCACAATCTCAGCCCAGTCTAACAACCCCTCCAGGAGGGCACTCATTGTACACTGTACATTATACAGATACAGCCACTGAGGACCAGGTTGGGCAAAGGACTTTCTTAAGGTCATGCAGAGTCACTGAGAGGTGGCAAGAAGAAAGGAGAAGGTGGAAGGGAACAAGTATTGATTTAGTGCATACCCACCACGTGCCAGGCACTGTGCTAAGTGTTTTCCAAATATTATCTCAGTTTATTATAACAACCCTGAGAAGTAGATGCTGTTATTGTCCTCATTTTACAGCTGAGGTAACTGAGGCAGACTGAGGGTAAGTGATGCCCAAGATCACAAAGTTAGAAGTGTCTGAGATCACACTTGAACCCAGGTCTTCCTGACTGCCACACTCGATCCAATGTACCACTGGCCACCAGAGCCTGTCTCCTAGTCAAATTGATAGAGAATAGACTGAGAGCTGGAAGGAAGCTGATTTGTTATTGCATCTGACCCTCTCATTTCAAAGATAAGCAAATGGAAGCCCAGAAAGGTGTTACCTTTTCCTGATTTCCCTTAAGGCTACTGCCTTCCCTCTGAGATTATCTCCACTTTGTCCTGCCTATATCATGTTTGTACAGAGTTGTTTCATGGTGTCTCCTCAATAGACTGTGAGCTTCTCCAGGGTCTTTCTTGGTATCCCCAGCACTTAGCCCAGTGCTTGACACATAGTAGGCGCTTCATGAATATTTCTTGACTGGCTTGCTCAACATCATACAGATAGTAAATGGCAGAGCTGGGATTTGAACCCAGGGTCTCTGAATTCTTATCCAGGACTCTTCTGGGTACATCACTTGGTGTCAATAAGGAGGAAGAAAACTGTTTCAAACTCTAAAAACAGATGTGTCTGAGACTGGAGGAGGGAAAGATGAAAAGCTGTGAGCAAATTCTTAACTTGCAGTCTTGGGAACTGAGTTCAAATCCTGACCCTGCTATTTGCTACCTTGTGACTTTGGACATGTCACATCTTCTCTGGGATCAGTTTCTTCAGGAAAATGAGGGTCCTGGATGAGATGACCTGTATGGTCCTTCCCAACTCTGAATCTGTAATCTTGTGATCTCTTCCACAGGGGCTAGGGAAGGGAGAGACCCTGAGGGGTGCAGGTCACAGTCCCTGGGGAGGAGAAGAAAAGGGGAAATGGGGGAGCAAATCTCTTGACAATGTAAAGTCCTGGGGACATTGTCAAGAGATTTGACATGTTTAAGTAGATTTCCCAATTATGCAAAACAGTCCATTCAAATAGAGAAGTTCAAGTTCCAGAATATTAAGGGGCAAAGTGGATGAGCTGGTCAGCAGGGCCAGCTCCACCACCCAGCATTCCCCTGCCTTCCCTCTCTCCCATCCCCCCACCAACAGGGATACACACCCCCTTCTCCAGACTGATGTAGCCCTGACCCACTTGAGCTTCAGGGGCAAAGTAGGCTAGGATCATGGGGAGGGGATGTCCTTTGTTCTTGAAAACCATCCTCCATCACCGTGGAGAAAATTCATCTTTAGAAATTCATGCCTTTAAGTGAACAAGAAACTACTTTTTAATACCCTGGGAAAGGGCAACATCATCAGTTATCCACAATCTAGTGTGAATTAATTGGTTAACATAATTCCTCCCCGGCAGGCAACCGAGGGCAGGGGAATCATCAGAAGAGAGCAGAGAGATGGAGAGGTAATTAGAAATGCTAAAGCATGGCTGGGGAGGACAAGCCTAGCTGGGGGTTATAGGGAGAGGTTTTGAGCAGCCAGGAGGAAACACTAAGTCATGAGACAACCCTCCTATTCTAATGGCTAGGGGTCAGGAAGATGTAGACAGGTACATTTAAGGTGTTGGTAGGTCTCTAGAGATTAAATCAACCTTTTTTCCCAAGTTCCTAAGGACTATCTCTGCTAATAGCCCCCTTCAGAATCCTAGACATTTTAAGGACTCTGTTCTGAGGTCCCATCCAATTTGGATAGTCTGTATTTTAGGGTCATGTGAGAGAGTGTGAATAAACTATCTTGTGTTTCCTAGGTGGGAAATATCATGCCCTAGAACCTTAGAAACTAGCCCAAGTCCCTCATGTTATAGATAGGCAAACTGAGGTTCAAAGAATGGACATGATTGTCCAAGGTCACACAAGGAAAAATCTGAAATGGAACCCAGGTTTCCCACCTACCAGCACAGCACTCTCGTTGACTCTCTTCCTAACCTGGCACAGCTCTTGCTCTCTAGGTTGTCGACTTCCCCCCTACCCCATATTGTCTGGGTAGGTCAAAGACTGATGACTTTCTCTGGACCCAGCTCCTCTTTCCCAGGGAACCAGAGGGCTCAGGTCAGAACCCTGGAGCAGGCAGGCTTTGGTTTAGATCCAGGATCCTAGATGACCCAAGGCCTCTGAAGCGCTTACCAGGGTCACAGACTTTACACTGGAGACACTCCTTCAGGCCACTCTGGTGTGCTGTGTAGGTCCCAGGATCACAAGGCACACACGTGGTGCCTGTTATTATACTGCATGTCTCTTGAACCCTGTAACCTAATGGTATTAAAGAGTCAGCATCAAGAACAAGGCACAGGCTACCTCCCTGCAGAAGACACTCCACTGCAGCCTCACTCTCCCCGCCCCATACTACCCTGATGCTACCATATGCACACCCTAGCCCAGACCCAGGAAGCTACCAAGGCCACCCATGAAACTTAGGATGGTTTGCTACGAAAATTATGATGGTACACATCTGTATTTCCAGCCCTCAGAGTCTTAGAATCCAGTGTGTCAAAAGTGAAAGGGACCTCAGAACAAGTACTTCAGATGTCAGAATTAAAAACAACTCTAGGACATAGAATGTCAGATCTAGGAGGGACCTCAGTACTTAGGATTCAGAGTTGGAAGGTCAATCTTAGAACGCAGAATTTTAGAGGTGGGAGGGCTCTTAGAATGGAGAATGTCAGAACTAGGAGGGAACTCAGAGCATAGAATGTCAGAGCTAGGTGTGACCTTAACAAATAAGATTCAGAGTCGGGATGGCAATCTTAGAACACGTGTTCTAAATAATAACACAATAATAAACAATAATAACAAAAAATAACCAATAACACAATAAAGAACATATGTTCTAAAATTTAAAAAAACCCATTTTCTAAAATTAAAAGCACCAAAAAAAGTCATGTGCACATGTCATGTGCACAGAAGAACATAGGAGAGGATTCAAAATATATAGCTATAACTTTTCATTTCTAGAAAGCCTATATATTAAATGCTATGCATTATATTGAAAGCTGTCCATCTTTTCTTTGCATCCTTGTAAGTTTTCTTTTCTTCTCTGCTGTATACTTTTTACTTTGTCCTTTTTTTCCCTTACCTGCCACTTCAAGGCTGTAATTGAGCATGGATATGTTTATATATAGGTATTGATACATATATACATGTATACATATATACACATAAATACAAATATAAATACATACATATATAAACATATACTTTCCTTAAGAGATTCCACTACTAATCTTTGTTTTCATGCCTGTACACAAGTCTTTATTTTTCCTATCTCTCCTAACTTCTCTACTTTACTTCTACCTGCTACCTTAGTCTCCTATTACTTCACCTACCCCCACTCTAGCAATCCCTCCCTTATCCTCCCGTTCTCCTAAATCTAAATATCCTTTTGAACACTCCTTTGACCCATTCTGTCTCCCTCTCCTCTATAACTCCCTCCCTTATCCTGTTAGGATGTTAGAAGTCATCTAGCCCTATGCTCTTGTTTTACAGATGTGGAAACTAAGTGACTAGTCCAAGGTCTCACAGGTAGTAAGGGGGAGTTGTAGCAGTCAAGCTGGTCCCTAAGATCCCATCCCACACCTATGTGTAGTAAATTTAGGCCAAGGCAGGTCCAGAATCTTGGGCCCCATCTAAGCTGGCCTCAATGGTCACTGCCATAGGGAACCAGGGAAAACACAAGGTGGGATAGGGTGGGTTTTTAGGGGGATGAAGGTACGAGATGCAGAACCAAAGTTTGTTTGCTTTAGAGTTTACATGCCTGGAGTTTATCCAGAATAACAGTTCCTAAGTGAAGCAGAAGACATACAGTGCCCTAAAAGCTAAAAGCTTTTTAAAGAAACAAATTTTAATTAAGAGTTGTTTTTCCAGCATCTTGTGAAGCCCCTCTGGGACTTGAGGGCATCCTAGAGTCTCTTTCCCCTATCTTGAAATGCCACACAACTTGCACCAAAAGAATTTCCTTTGCCTCCCTTATCCTGTGTTCCATATTCTGTCACCCATCTTCCTCATCCTGTGTCATGACAATTTTTCCTTATCTTGACAACCATTTTCCTAAAAATATACCGTTATCCTATAGGCTGTATAACTTTCTGTCTATATAAGTCTGGGTCCTTTCCTATATCGGGGCCTTTGTTTAGCTCCTTGCTAATCTTAGGCCCTTGTGCTTTGATGAAATGAAGCTCCCAGTGGCTACACAGAAGGTCTAAGTGAATTCTTTCACACTTGAACCAGCTCTCCCAACTCTAAACCTCAACATAACCACTCAGCAGGCAATGAAACAAAAGACTTCTTAAGCATTCTCTATCCGCAAGGCTTAATCTGAGCAGCTAGGTGGTGCAGTGGGTACAGCGCCAGGCCTTGAATCTGGGAGACCAGAATTAAAATGTGGCCTGAGCCACTTTTTAGTTGTGTAACCCTGGATAAGTCACTTAACCCTGCTTGTCTCAGGTTCTTCATCTGTTAAAATGAGATGGAGGAGAAAATGGCACACTACTCCAACCAACATCTTTGCCATGAAAACCCCAGATGGAATTACGAAGAGTCCCACAAGACCAAACAACAACAGATGTTCAAGGCACCAGATTGGCTTTGGGAATAAAAAGACAAAACAACTAGAAACAGTCTCTGCCCTTAAGGAGATTACATTCTAGCATGGGAATGTAATACGCAGAGAGGTAAGTCAATACAAATTCATACCAAATACATAGAGTGATTTGGGGCAGGGAAGAGGAGAGGATACCAAGGCAGAGACAAGGAGGACAGAAAGAGGAGACAGAGAGAGAGAGAAGGAGGGAGAAGAGACAGAGGAAAAGAAAATCAGATGAATTCTTAGTGGAAAATGAAGTATATTTTTTTCATTTTCTTTTTCTTGCTTTTTTTGCAATATGATTAATATGGAACTATTTTTTGCTTGACTTCACACGTATAATTGATATCATCATATTGTGTCCCTTCTCAATGGGTGGGGGAAGGGCTGAGGGAGAGAATTTAGAACTCAAAAAATCTTTTTAAATTAATGTTAAAAATAAACACTACTTTTAAAAAATGAGAGAGAATTAGAAAAGAACTTCTGGAGAGGTGATATCTGAGCTGCTTTTTGAAGGCATTCAGGAGTTCCACAAGGTTGAGGTAAAGAGGGCATTCCAGACATAAGGGGTCCCTCATTATGCAGACAAATGCACAGATGAGGGAATGGCATGAAGGGTCCAAGGGCCAGGAACAGGGAATTATGATGAGTTGAATGGAATCAGGGATCTAGACAAAGGTGACAAGTTTCTCCAGCATCAACATTTGTTGAATAAGTGTCCTAGGTCCCACCTGGCTCTGAACTCCATGGAGAAGGCAGAGGAAATCAGAGATGTGCCCTGGGGGACTTCTCCCTTTTCCTCTCTAACCTCAATGACCACCCAACTGTCCTCCTTCCAGCCCAGACAGTCCTGCATTAAATGCTTTATAGCCTTAGACCACAACTAACTCTAAACTCTGCATGCAAGAGGCATTCAATGAAAGCCTGTTGGCTGAATAAATTTGTCCTGTCCATCAATAAGAACAGCTGCCTTATAAGGTAGTAAGCATCCCATTCCTAAAGTATTCAAGAAGAGATTCCTATGTTGGGGAAAAGATCAGGCTAGATGCCCCTCCATCTTTCTGCTAAGCTCCTAGATGCCCTCCATGGCCCTTCTGAGCTCTGAGATTTTATGGTTCTGGAATTCAAACGGATACATGAAGAAAGGAAGAGAGACTGGAATAAGCAGGCATTTGCCAGAGGAAGAGAGTGATTTGTCCTAGAGAAGGAAACCTTCTGACTTACCTGGATGGCAGGTGGGACAGCATTGCCCATCCACCTTGTACTCTCCTACCATACACTCCTGTGCCTCCTTGAAGGGCATGAACTGAGTTGTAATGATGCTGAATATCTTGGGAAAAGAAAGGAGGTAATGAGGGTGAGGGAGAGAGTGTAGTTCAGGGTGTCAGGAAAACTGGGTTCTAATCTTGACCTTATCACTCACTGGCTAGAAGACTGTGGGCTACCCCCTCTTGGGGCCTCAGTTTCCCCATCTGTAAAATGAGGGGGTGGAGAGACAGCAGATGTACTGGAGGAAACACAGGAATGGGAGCCAGAAGATAAGAGTTAGAATCCTACCTCAGGCCCTTACTGTGCTGCCCTGGATGAGCAATTTAACCTTTCTTGGTCTCAGTTTCCTCATCTGTAAAATGAAGAAATTGGACTTCAAGGCCTCAGAGATTCCTTCCAGCTCTAGACCTGGGATCTTGTGATTTAATCTCTAAGAGAGAGTCCAACCAGTGGGTTCCTTTTTTTTGTGTGTATGTGTTTTGTTTTGAGGCAATTGGGGTTAAGTGACTTGCCCAGAGTCACACCGCTAGTAAGTGTCAAAGTGTTTGGTCTGAGGTCGGATTTGAACTCAGGAACTCCTGACTTCGGTGCCGGTGCTCTATCCACGGCTCCATCTAGCTGCTCCCAGTCTGTTACTTTAAAAAGCACCAATCTGGGAAGACTGGGGGGGGGGGGGGAAGAGGGGAAGGGTGTAGGAAAGAGCGGCATGGATGCTAATAAGATGTAATTTTAATCATGATTAATTCACACTTAATGCAGCACTTTAAAGGTTTCCAGAGAACTTTGCACACTTTTCATCAACAGTACTCTGTACTATTACTCTAACCATTTTTCAGGTAGGGAAACCAAGGCTGGAAGGTTAACCCAGTAAATGTGTGAGGCAGGATTCAAATTCAGGTCTTCCTGACTCCATCCACTCTGCCCCTCTCCAAGTGATGTTGGATGTAGGATTGTCTCCCACAAGCCCGATCAGAACCTGAGAGACCCTGGAGAAGTGAAGGGGAGGTGAAGGCCCTGCCAGAGGGCTCTAAAGGGGAATTAGTGCCTCCTTCGAACAGGCTGCTTATCAAACGTGCTCCACCTAAAACTGCTCGCAGGTGTTTATCTCCAAGGGCGTGGGGAAAGGAGAGACCTAAGGGCAGCAATGAATAGGAGATGAGATAAAGTGCTTAAAGGCACAGTGCTTGGCACAAACTAGGGAGTTAATAAATGCTGGTTTTCTTCTTTCTTTTATTTTATGCATTTACAAACTTGGTTTGGCCAGGAGTCATAGACCTCGTGGAGCTGCCAAAGGAGTCCATGCCTGCCTCCCCTCAAAAAGACATTTATTTCTAATCTGCCCCCTTTACTTTGGGGAAAAGAAAGCTCATTCTCAGAGAGGTCAAGAAGAGTCAACAAGCATTTATTAAGCACTTACTGTGTTTCAGGTGGGCAGCTAAGTGGCACAGTAAATAGACTGCCAGGTCTGGAGTCAAGAAAACCTGAGCTCAAAGACAGTCTCATTCATTTCCTAGCTGTGTGACCCTGGGCAAATCACTTAACCCTGATTACCCCAGTTTCCTCATTTGTAGCATGAGCTGGAGAAATAAATGGCAAACCACTCCAATCTCTTTGCCAAGAAAACCTCAAATGGGGTCACGGAGAGTTGGACACGACTGAAAATGACTGAACAACAACCCAAGTGTGCCAGGCATTGGGATGAGGCCTGGGACAGAAAGAAAGGCAAAGATGGTCCCTGCTCTCACAGGGCTCACACTCTAGTTGAGGGGAGGGGAGGTAAGGTGACATGCCCAAGGTCCTACAGAGAAGTAACAGAGACAGACTTTTCAGTCTGGGGCCTCTGCCTGCCGAACTACTGCTCTTCCTGCTGCCCTGATTCCATTTCTGAGAAGCTTGGTGCCGTCCAACAAGGCCCGGGAAGCATCACCTGGCTGCCTCTTGGTTCAATCTAGTTCACAAGTATAGGGCAGTGAGGAGGGGCAGCCAAGTGGAGCAAGCCCAGCAGAGACAGGTCAGAGAGGCTGGGGCCTGAATCACAGTCATCCCCTCTTCCTCCACAATCCAAAGGAGCAGACCCCAAAGGGGGCTTTCCTCGTAGTATGGTAGCCTCTCTCTTTTTTTCTCTCTCTCTTTCTTCTTTTCTTCTCTCTTTTCTCTGTCTCTCTCTGTCTCTCTTTCTTTCTCTTCTCTCTTCTTCTTTCTCTCTGTCTCTCTTTGTCTCTGTCTTTCTGTTTCTCTGTCTCTCTTCACTCTCTTTCTCTCTGTCTCTGTCTCTCTCTGTCTGTCTCTCTATCTCTCGATCTCTGTCTCTATGTCTCTTCTCTTTTTCTATATATACATATACATGTACCCACATACATATACATATATACATACACACACACATACATACATATATATATATATATA